CGCGAATAGACAATATTTTTATCAACGACCTCACCGTTCATCCTGCAAGCGACGGTACATGGACTCAGTCCTGTACTGACTCAGTCGTAAAGGTTTTGGCGGGAATTGCACTCAGTCGTGAGAGTTTTGGCGGGAATTGCGGATATTAATAGGTTGGTCAAGGAATAATCATATCCTGGAGCTAAGGTTGGTAAAAATTACTATTATTTATTGTTTTGAATAAATCAAAGATTTTAAATGATAGAATGTTGAGTTAAGTAATTTACAGGGCTTTCAGAGGGAATTTATAGAATTTATATTGGTCCAAAAATAAGGGTTTAAGCCATGTTTTAACAGGAATTGGCAGACACCCCCCGAATTAAAAGGGGCTAGTTTCGCCCCTGGATATAGCTCTTATAGCAGATACCATTTAGTGTTACTCATAATTAGACTTAAAATAGAGTTAATTTGTTTATTTTGTGTTCGTGGCGAAGAGTTTTCAAACGTTTTCACCCGTTTTCAAAATTACGCGATCAAGGACGAAAATGCTAGAGTTGACATGTCAGTTTTATGTCATTCGGTCACGAACTACACGAAGTTTAAACTTTAAGTTTTGCGGTCCCTTGTTGATGTATATGCTTTGTATGCTTTATATAAACAGGCTTACAATGATTTCAAGATACTTTTTAGTGGCAATTATTGCAAAATTTAAGCACAAACAAAATCATAACATCACCGTCAGGGATGCCGGAACCACAGGTGCAGCGGGTGCAAGTGCACCCCTTGCCTTTTACATTTTCAACTTTGTGGGTGCAGTGCGGGTGCAGACTATGGGTGTATCGGGTGCACAAAACTTTTACAGCAGACAGAATTAAACGTCGCTTGAGGATGTGTGTGGGGGTGTTCCACCCCGCAGTCGTCAGGAATTCGGCAAAGTTGTTATCCATTTGGCGAAAGGTGAAACGGAAAGCATTACTTATGGAATTTTTATTGAAGCATTACGGAGGAATTGTGCCTAAATAATTGTATTCGGTCCGAAAAAAATTGGTGACGGGGAAGGAGGTCGACTCGAATGTTGGATCATGACGCCCTTTCATTTTCATTGGTGCCCTTTTGTTATGGAGTATGCCCTCTTGTTAACCAATTGCACCCCTTGCCCTCAGCAACTTCCGGCATCCCTGATCGGCAATTGATAAAACTAGAATAGTCGAATAGTACGAATAGTCCGCGAATAGTCGACGAATAGTGCGAATAGTCGGCGAATAGTCGACGCATAGTGCGAATAGTCCGCGAATAGTCGACGAATAGTACGAATAGTCCGCGAATAGTACGAATAGTCGACGAATAGTGCAATAGAGACTTTGCAAGGCTTTGCACCGTGCTGTAGAACTAAATTTACCGGGGCGGGGGGGGGGGAGGGGGGGTTGGCTCTATTGACAAACATGAAATCGTGAAAACATTCGTTGACGTCAATGACGTCATACGTAATCAATCAATCAATCAATCAATCAAACTTTATTTACCCACGGTACTATTTCACAAAGACAAAAACTAAAATATTTACAAGATGTGATCTTCCAATAGGCCGTGCTATATATGTATGAATAATTACATGCAATTATAAAAATATTTTATTAGGTTAATACAATAAAATCGAAGAGAAAAAGAAAAAAGATAAATTGATTATCAAGAATTATTACGACTATTTGACACTAGAGCCCTTTTGAAGGTTGACAATGAACCCATATTTTTTATATTAGGTAATAAATCATTCCAAGCTACAGCTCCTCCGTACGAGAATGATTTTTTACAAAAGTTGGTACTTGGCCTCGGGAGTGCAAAGTTAAATTCAGCCTGCCTAGTTTGATGATTATGAAGTGTACTGGTTTTCGTGAATAAATCAATTAGGTAATCAGGCACCATATTATTATTTACCTGATACATAGTAGTACATAATTGATTATTTCTTCTGAGACTTAAATTAGGTAAATCTAATTCTTTAAGTATATCGGCTGATCTAAATTCATACCCACGCTTTGTAATGATACGTGCTGCTCTATTTTGTAAACGTTGCAACTGGTTTTGAAGGGTAATTCCAAGACAACCCCATACTTGCGAGCAGTAATCAAAGTGTGGTTGAATTAAAGTTTTGTAAACTGTTACTAGAGTCCTTACATCAACAAAATCTCTTAATCGTCTAAGGACGTAAAGACCCTTGTTCACTTTCTTTGTAATTAGATCTGTTTGAGAATGCCAGGTTAAGGTCTCATCTACCATCATACCCAGTGATTTAGTAACGGTTACTCGTTGAATAGGCGTATCTCCAATTTTTATTTGCAATTCGGAGTTACACTGTTTAAGTTTTTGATGTGATCCAATAAACATATATTCAGTTTTGCTTTTGTTCAGGCTCAGCTTGTTGGCCGCCATCCAAACTGAAATATTTGCTAGGTCATCATTTAACGTTTCAAAAATTACTTTGACATCCTTATTTGCCTTAAAAATTACGGTAAAAATTACGGGAACCACTGAGTTTTAACAAAATTTTTAACAGGAAGTAGAATGACAGTCACTGGAATGACGTTAAGTTTTCTACTGGGCGAATTTGTTCGCGCGAAGCGACAAGTAAAAGAGTAGGAACTGATCCAACTTTTTCGCGGCGAATTTTTTCGCTGACCAATCACATTGCCGAAATTTGGTTTTCGTTTCGCGCGAACAAATTCGCCCAAAAACGGGCTTAAATAATAGATCGATACCTTCCCTTGTTTCGTGATGTAAATCACGTTTTCCAAGCACACGAAATCACTTAAGCCCTTAAATCTTCAGTTAACAACGTCACAACTTACAAGTAAAATTCCTATAAAATTCCATCAGTAAAATTCATGACTCATACGGTTACCACCCACCACACTAGGAATGATTTTTAATTAAAAAAATATGAAATATGTTTCCTGACAATGACTGAATTTTAGTCGACGAAAGCTAGAATATTAAAATGTTTATTTACGAAATTACCGTTGTTTTATATTTCAGTTAAAATACTCAGTGGTTTCCGTAATTTTTACCGGTTAGGTATGACGTCATTAACGTACGTCAACGAATGTTTCACGATTTCATGTTTGTCAATAGAGCCCCCCCCCCGGTAAATTTAGTTCTAAGCACTGCTGCAAAACCTTGCAAAGTCTCTAATTCACTATTCGTCGACTATTCGTACTATTCGTCGACTATTCGCGGACTATTCGTACTATTCGTCGACTATTCGCAGACTATTCGTACTATTCGTCGATTATTCGCGGACTATTCGTACTATTCGTCGACTATTCGCACTATTCGCTTCACTATTCTAGTTTTATCAATTGCCATCCCTGGCCACCGTTCTAGCGCGCGCGTGTTTTATACTGACAGCTATATTCCAGGATAAATTGCAACCACGAGGTTGGATAAATTGTTATTTTTCAAACTTTAAAAGTTATTCACGACACATATTTCTGTTGTGATGGTTTGTATTGTGCTTGTAAGTAACTCATTTTTGTTCAGTTTTGGTATTAAATACGGTTTAAAATGTCTTTTGACAGTTTGTTTACGTTTGCTATTTTTAGCAGTTTTTGTTACATAAAATTGACATTTGAAGTAAAGAGTATTTTTCAGGGAGGTCGCGTAATTTTGAAAACGGGTGTAAAAGGGTGTCTATAAACTTGCGAGAAATATGCGAAATGAATACTATAATCGAATAACGATTTTTAGAAACTTCCTCGTATGACAACAATAAAAGTTAATAACACAAATATTTAAAAGGCAAATTCGATTAGAGTATTCCTTTCATATTTCTCGCAAATTTGTAGACACCTTTATTTAATACGCCCTCTTCGCCACGAACACAACTGAATAAAAGAATTAACTCTATTTTCTTCTAATTATGATTAACACTAAATGGTATCTGCTATAAGAGCTAGCGTATATCTATACAGGCATACAACTATTTACATGAAACGGCCACACTTAATATACGCACGAGTTTCCTCGACAATAGTGGCACAAAGTCCCACATGGCTGAGCGTGCTCCTAAGATTGAACGCTGTTCATCAGTTTATTTCAAACAATAAATAGTAATTTTACCAACCTTAGCTCCAGGATATGATTATTCCTTGACCGACCTATTAATATCCGCAATTCCGGCCAAAACTCTCACGACTGAGTGCAATTCCCGCCAAAACTTTTACAACTGAGTCAGTACAGGACTGAGTCCATGTACCGTCGCTTGCAGGATGAACGGTGAGGTCGTTGATAAAAACATTGCCTATTCGCGTGAGAATCTTCGATATTTGTCAAGAGTACTTGACAGGTTCTGATCTGATTTTAACCCGTTGAACAACCAGATCCAAGCTTTGAAACCACCAAATGACCATAAATGATCATCAAAAACATTGAACTTTCTCGGTAAAAACATTGAACTTTGTCATGAGAATAGACCATACTTTACTGCGACCGTTCATCCTTAGTGCATTCAGTAAATGAGTCCGCCTTTTACAAATCGCAGCCCGCGATTTGTAAAACACGGACTCAGTCCGCGTTTTACAAATCTTAGTTCGCGATTTGTAAAACACGGACTCAGTCCGCGTTTTCCCGGTCCAGTCCAGTCCAGTCCGTGTTTTACAAATTCAGTCCGCGATTTGTAAAACACGGACTCAGTCCGCGTTTTCCCGGTCCAGTCCAGTCCAGTCCGGTCCAGTCCAGTCCAGTCCAGTCCGTCTTTTACAACATGCCATATTCAATGTGTCCAATAAATTTCGTCTTCGTGTCATGTAAAGTGAAGAAACAGGAGTTTTCTGGATACAAAAGTGTAGTATAATGCAAAAACCCTATGGAGTCACCTTAAAATAGTTTTTATTATTATTTTATGACTTTTAAACACAGAAATCACTCGTGGTCATTCGTGGTCACTCGTGGTCACTCGTGGTCATTCGTGGTCACTCGTGGTCACTCGTGGTCACTCGTGGTCATTCGTGGTCACTCGTGGTCACTCGTGGTCATTCGTGGTCACTCGTGGTCACTCGTGTGTACTTTTAGACAAGATCCAATTTGCACTAAAAGTACACACGAGTGACCACGAATGACCACGAGTGACCACGAGTGACCACGAATGAGCACGAATGACCACGAGTGACCACGAATGACCACGAGCTACCACGAATGACCACGAGTGACCACGAGTGATTTCTGTCTTTAAAAGTCATAAAATAATTATAAAAAACTATTTTAAGGTGGCTCCATAGGGTTTTTGCATAAAACTACACTTTTGCCCCAGAAAACTCCTGTTTATTCACTTTACATGACACGAAGACGAAATTTATTGGACACATTGGGCAATGCTCTCCTGAACATTGTAATTTACTACTTTTGCGCTGAAAGTCCGTTACCATGGTGACAGCGCGTTTGGATAATTAAGCTCAAAATTTGCCTTTTTCCGGCCGTTTTAAAAATTTAAAAATTTGCATAAAAGATCTTGCTCGTATAATGATCTTTTTCTTCAATTTTAAAAAATTCTATGGAACGTTTCTTAGATTATTCCCTTCAATAAAAAGGATATTGAGCTTGTTTAGAAAAGGATATTGAGCTTGTTTAGCCGATATTAAGAAATGTGCAAAGTTTTAAAACAATTTACCGAAGGAAAAGCGGGGAGAAATTTAGGTTTAATTTTGGCATTTTTTGCGAGATGTGACGTGTAACCCCCTTTCTCTCCCCCCCCCCTCCCCTCCAACTGTGAAACTCAGACAAAAATCATGTAAAATTCCAGTTAAAATTTTGATATTTTCAGGTAAAATTTGCGTAATAAAGTAATTATTTGTGTGAAATGATAACCATTTTTGTAAAATATACAGTCAATTTGCATCCATTTTGTTTGCGAATTTGCTTTAGAAATCGCCAGAATTGTAGTCATAGAGCTTCAAAAATGGAACAATTTTCTGGGGGAGGACCCCCAAACCCCCATTTTCTCCCTAAACTTAATATGACAGTGCAAGTCAATCACAAAAAGCTTTATTATAATTATTACACTTTAGGTAAATATTTATTAATTAAAATTAAAATTCCAGGTAAAATCCTCCGACAACCCCCCCCCCCAACTTCAGATGCTTTGCTACGTTCCTGTAGACTGACGTGTACAATAGTCGAAAAACTCAAAAAAATTTCCCTAAGGGATTTTTAAAATGGTCGAAAAAAGACAAATTTTGAGGCTTATCCTAAGCACGCTGTTCTACAAAAGTAGCGCTATATCTATGTCGAGTAGCACATTGCAATGTTCAGGAGAGCATTGTCAATGTGTCCAATAAATTTCGTCTTCATGAGTATGTAAAGTGAAGAAACAAGCGTTTTCTAACTTTTCTGGATACTATAGTGCAGTATAATGCAAAAACCCTAGGGAGCCACCTTAAAATAGTTTTTATTATTATTTCATGATTTTTAAACACAGAAATTACTCGTGGTCATTCGTGGTCACTCGTGGTCACTCGTGGTCATTCGTGGTCACTCGTGGTCACTCGTGTGTACTTTTAGACAAGATCTTGAAACGGGGCGTTTACCGTTGGAAACGGAAATGTTTCACTGCTCATGTGACGCGTTACAGTGCAAAGCCTAATTCAGTTAATTTTCATGTTTTGGTATTTCCAAGCTCACGATATTGTAAGAGCGACCGACCAAACTTGTTTATATTCATACTTTTTGTGACTAGGACGTATTATCGTGGGCTTGGAAATATTGAAACGTGCAAGGAGGCACATCAAAACATGACAGTTGCGCCAAAAATAGCTTAAAGCTTTGCACTGTGCACGTCACATGAGCGGTGAATACATTTCAGTTTCCAACGGTAAACGCCCCGTTTCAAACGTTTTTTTAAAAACGCGCGAAAATGTTTGCGGTTTGTTCTTGGATGCAAATTGCTGTATTAATGTGCTTTATGACAATGGTATCGAGATAACGAAATATCTTTAAAAAGCACAATACATTAATTATTGAAAAAAACCCATAAAATGCTTGAAAACGTGACAATCTTTCTATCTCTAAATTACGGCAAATAAAAATATTTCGAAACTCTTTAAATCTTTATTTAGCTTTGGCGTAATTGCATGCCTTAATAGTGTAGTTAATAATAATAATAATAATATATAAAGATTTATACAGCGCTTAAATTATATAAAATATTCCAAAGCGCTTTACAACAATGAAGTTATACTATATACAAGTAGCTAAAATATTAAGAATTAAGGTATAGGTGTCTATAAATCTAAAAGTTAGAATCGAAAGCTTTCTTAAAAAGGAAAGTCTTTAATTGAGATTTAAAACAGTCAATTGTTTTACTATTTCTAATACCAGAAGGTAGCATGTTCCAAATTGACGGAGCTGCATGCACAAATGCTCGATCACCAAGAGTCTTGGCTCTAGTTTTTGGGATAAAAAGTAGTCCCTGATCATCAGATCTCAGTTGATAACAACAGTTCGGTTTTTCTAACAACAGTTCCATAATGTAGCCTGGCGCCATCCCGTGGAGAGCTTTATATACCAGAAGTGCAATTTTAAAATCAACGCGAAACTTGACAGGCAGCCAGTGAAGGTGCATCAGGACAAGGGTAATATGAGCACATCTTGGTATAAGACACGTCACTCTAGCAGCGGCATTGAGAACTCGTTGAAGACGCTGAAGTTGGTATTGGGGAATGCCGAACAAGAGAGAATTGCAGTAGTCCAAGTGTGACGTCACAAAGGCATGTACGAGCGTTTTAGTTGATTCGATGGAGAGAAACTTCCTTATTTGTCGGATGTTGTACAAGCCCCTAAATGCTTTGCTGCAAACCTTGCCCACATGGACATTCATCGACATATGTTCGTCAAACCACGAACCTAGATTTCGGACTTCTTGTACAGGTTTTATATCAGCATCACCAACTTCAATCGAGTCGATTGTAACCTTAGACAGCTGCTGGCGAGTTCCAATTATCAAGAATTCCGTTTTAGTGTCATTGAACATTAATTTATGTGAAACTAACCAAGCACGAACTTCGACGATGCAATTATTAATAGTTTGAATAGCTTGGTCTTGGACAACGGGTGACTCAGGACGGAAAGATAAATAAAGTTGAGTGTCATCTGCATACCCATGGGAAGAAGGTAAGTGCCTGTTAATAATCTGGAACAGTTGAGACACGTATAATAGGAAAAGGACCGGTCCAAGACAGCTTCCTTGTGGTACTCCACAGTTCAATGTAAAATTGGCGGAAAACTTTTGCTTAATATTAATACGCTGCTTTCTACAGGAAAGAAACGACTTAATCCACTTTAAGGCATTTCCGATCACACCAAATTCTAACTTCAATATATCCATCAGAATTTCATGATCAATGGTGTCAAAGGCGGCACTCAAATCCAAGAGCACTAAAAGAGTTACTTTCGGTTGGTCCATGTTCATAAGGATATCATTGTGGACTCTTAGGAGAGCTGTTTCGGTAGAGTGAAATTGACGATATGACGATTGGTTGTTAGGAAGAGGAGCATTATCAGCACAATGCTCAAATAACTGGCTAACAACTGCTTTTTCCGTAGCTTTAGAAACGAAAGACAGGTTACTGACGGGCCTGAAGTTCTCAAAGACTAGATCAAGACCGTATTTTTTTAGAATTGGAATAAGAATGGCAACTTTCCATGCTTCTGGGACGTGACCTTCACTTAACGACAAGTTGATCATTTTCATAATGACAGGTGTTAACTCAGGTGTTAACAGATGGCTTCCATCGAAGAGTGACCGAGTGCTTGTTTGCGCTTCACAAGCAGAAATGCTTGAGAAATTTGAAGAGTACAAAATAAAAACAAGTGGTGGTTGGAGATGTATCAAATCAAATCAAATGCACTTTTTGGTAAGTGAACTAATTTCAATATGTAAATTTGTCTTATAAATATTCATACGAATACCATGTCGTCCGTGTGTGCAATATTTTAATATGAAAGATCCAAATTATGCATACATAAAACCTTTATCGATTTACTGCAGTACTACACTCATATAATAATATAGTATGTCTTTATAAAGGTCGAAAGATGCATATGTGCTTTAGAATTATATAGTAAATCTTACTGGATAAAAACCTTTCATAGGGGACCACTCATTAATAATGGGAGGAGGGTGAGGGGGGGGGGGTGGGTGATAGATACCAAATATTGAACATTTTTTGGAGCCGCCCCAATCGCAAGACCTTTATTTTCAGGATGCCCCCACCTTCATTTAGAAATTTAAGCCCCCCCCCCGTCCAACATTTAATTTGTCACTTAGTTGGTATAAAATAGGTAATGATACAAGTATTGGTGTAGGACATTGTGTAGCCTAAATAATAGGAGGACCAGTATTCAAATTGGTTATTTACTCTGACTCCTATCATAAACTGCATATACGTAATATACTATGGAAATTACGATTATAGGAATTAAAAAAGGTGAAATATTTTGCAATATAATAAAGGCAAGGGATTGAAAATGAGTAGGAAAGTATTCAAAATTTGGGGTCATCACATATTTTGAGGCCACCCCTAATTCAGGCAAAAATAGTTGAAGCCTCCCTTTCCTCACCCACCTCCCCCCTCAGTGGCATAACACTCACTAGGTAGGGTTAGTTCAAAAACTAAAGGCCCCCGACATCGCCCAGAAAATTAGACTGAAAATGAAAAAAATGCAGGTTACGAATCGATGAAAAAATACAAAATTAATAATGCTAAATAATAAACCCTCCATCGACGACGGTATTCCATCTCAAATAGAACAAAAGTTATTCTTAAAAGTTAATTGTTACATGTGTTGGAGACTGTTATTATCATTGTTATAGACAAAGAATTTTCCATTCTACTGATAAATATTCAATATAAATATAAGATCTCAGTCAAACAATAACAGTCAACAGGGACTCCCACACCAAGGGGGCCCCTCTAACTCCATTACACCACTGCCCCCCCCCTCCCTGCCTCCCATTATTAATTACCGGTGTTCCCTAATCATTCATAATATACATTTCATACAATTTCATATTATTTAATTAATATATACATCACTGCATGGCTTTTCAAGATACATCAATAAAACACTATAAACAGAAAGTCAGAAACAAGTGCTAATACTAAATGGTAGAAATACACAATAATGGAAAAAGGCTTTCAGTCAATTATCTGCCAGTAACTCGAGTCATCTAATGTCCATTTCATGTATTATATATGCATAATCATTGCATAGCTAGTCTGCTATAGCACAACATGTTTCAACTTTTCATATTTTCATACACATAATAATATGAACAACATGTTAAAAACAGTTGACTAGTATGTCAAAGGTTAGGTGGATGCATTCCTTGGAGGCAACAAACCCAATAATTATTAACCCAACAATTTGTAACAATTATTTTATTAATTGACAACAATTGTTTTATTTAAAAACATAAACGTTCTCTGACTAAATTTTTTTATTTAAAACGAGCTTTCGACTACCTAACTGTAGTCTTCGTCGGAAAAATTTTAGTCAGAGAACGTTTATGTTTTTAATTATGTCTAAACCTGGCTACGCTATCTCCATATTTTCAATTATTTTATTATTAAATATTGATTATTTTAACAATTATTTTATTAATGACAATTATTTTGTTAAAATATTGATTCCCTTCATTGCTGAAATCTAACATTGATCATGTGGCAGACCCACTTTATGCTTTGTTGCAGGCAAAGAAGCATCCACTTAGCCTTTGACACCCTAGTCTGTTTTTAATGTTGTTAATATTAACTCATTAACTGACAATCTGAATGTGCCCAAATGTGCCAACTTAGTATTTACTGTGTCTAATGCCAGACGATTAATTACTCATCAATGGTAGAGTACTGCCAGTAAATGGGATAAAGTGAATGTTAAATATGAATTAAGTTGAAATCGGTTGTAATAACCAACTGATTCATTAACCTATTAAGTTGCAAAATCATCTAGCATTAGAAAGAGTAAAGATTTATTGTGTTATCTGCCGCTGTTCCTTGGACATTTTACTAACGATTTGCTGTGTCGTCTGCTGCTGTTGGAAGTTCCTTTTCCTTGAACATTTTACTAAAGATTTACTGTGTCATCTGCTGCTGTTGGAAGTTCCTTTTTCTTGAACATTTTACTAAAAAATTACTGTGTTATTGTACATAATTTCTAGGGAAAATATAAGAAAAATTCAAATGTTGTATTTCCAAAAATATGCACTCAGACTTTGAAATTTGTGGACCCAGGGGGAGGGACAGCTCAGGAGGGGGCAACATTTACTGGGGGGGTCCCCCGGCTCTGGCTAGGTTACTGTATAGTATTCCCTAAAGCGATAAAGTATTATTAATATTTCTAACTAATAATTATTACTAATTATTAGTAAGTATTTATTATTTATGTTGCTCTAATAGTCAATTAGCCAAGCCGGACTGCAAGATTCAAATGCTACCATTGCACAAGGCAGATTAAAAGAGTGACTAACAGACTAAACAGTGATGCGACCATAGTTGGGTTTCAATCTGAATCATGTGACACTTTAGCACTTGGTGGTCAACTCCAAAAGGAAACACAGTTATTGGGTTGAGTTCATTATTCATTATATTAATTCACCTTGTATTCAATAGCAAATACAGAACATTTAACAAAATTTGCTCGCTTCCACAAGGCATATAAAGCGACAAACGTGCAAAGTTGACCACCATGTGTTTTCCTATGAATTTGTCACCAATATTATTAAATACTAAATAGTATGCCACATGGGCTATATTTTTCCCTTAATAAAATAAAAACACGTTGGCTACGGTATATTAATGAGTTAAAATGATTTTAAAATTAACCCCAAATAGGTAATAAAAGTAAATATATATTTCGCTTTGCACGTACCTATTTATCTATATACAATTTTTAAATCTCCATTTGTAGTTTGTTTATTTGTAATGCATCATTTGTAATGATGTGTTTATTGCGTTTATATAGTTTACTGCACTTGAAATACCGCTGACTCGTATGTATTGCAGTTTCAGATATGTACGTATCTTGTCTATGATCTAGTGCCGACCCATTTTCTTCGCCACAGCAGAAGAATGGCGTGCATTTATATGAGCAATTGGATTTGCCAATTTTGTTAGCTGTTCATGATTGTAATTAGCAACTTGTTCATTACTATAGAAAAGTCTAGTTGCATCATCAAATTCTGATAAATTACTGACACTTGATGGTTGACGTGTAAGAAGTAATTTCCAATCATCTAATGTTGATTCACCTTTTCGAAGGCGCAATAATAAATCTCTGAACAACACTTGATCAGATGTCATACCTTGCACTCTTTGATTCACAGTGAGTTTAATGACTTTATCGAACATTCTGTAAGCTTGATGTCCTTGCTCACCCACAGCATTGGATGGTTTAGCATGATACAAAGGTTTATCAGCCACAGGTGGTAGTTGACCAGGATCTCCAGTCAAAATTAATGATTTTTCACCAAATACTTTATCATGACAGCCAGTGGCTTGTTTACATCGTTTGTCTATCCAGCCGAAAGTAACTTGGCCAAGCATTGAATATTCATCAATAATGATGTAATTAATATCTTTAAGATTTTGCTGTAATCTACATAAGCTTTGACCAGTGAGATCTTTGGCGCCTCTTGAACCAATAGGTAGTTTTAATAAAGAATGTATTGTCACACCTTTAATATTATAAGCAGCTTTACCTGTTGTAGCAGTTACAGCACATTTGTTTTGCAATAAGTTTCGTATTGCATTAATAAGATAACTCTTACCAGTGCCAGCAACTCCATTAATAATTAGGCACAATGGCTCTTTCTTCAAAGAAATTTCGTCAAAATGAGACTGAACAATATGATAAGCTAAGTTTTGCATGTCACTGAAACTGGTGATGTCAACGTCTTCGTATTGCTCGTCAACAGTGAATTCCTCTTTGTTTGTTTTTATCCATGTTGGCATTTCATGAATTTGTTGATCGGAATAACATTCTCTGTCACCATGCCAGTCATGTGTCAACCCAGGTAATTGCTCTGAGTTTTCAAATGGAGTATTGAGGTCAGATAATATCATCCACTCCTCTCGAGTTACTTCCTGCTCTACAGCAGGTTCATCGTCTGTTTCTTGACTTTGAACCACAGCTTGTAGCTTATCAAACCAATCAGGGACATTCGCTTGTCCATATGGTATTTGTAAAAACTCATGCCAAGAATTGATAAAAATCTCATCGGATGGCTCTTGGTCACCCCATGCATTATTTTGAGATAATTTCCAAGGCTTGTACCTTAGAAGTTGATACTTGCAATAAGAGGCAAAATTCGGTCCCTTTGGATTAGGAGAATATGTCGGAAATATTCTTGGTATAACATTCTCAGGTAACTTAGTTAATTTATCTTTAACAACTTTATAAGTTGTAGCAAACTGAACAAAGTTCATATTTATTACTTCAGGTGAGGTACTATATTGCTCACGGTTAGCATACACATCTAATAGTGAATAATCAGTACATGATTCACCTTCGTCAATACATGAGATATCACGCACTCTGCGTGAGCCGTTCAGACTAACTGGTATAACTTTGAATGATGAACTGTGAAGTTTGAGAGACATTAAATGATGCGTTGTCTCCTGGGCAGCATAATCTCTTTCACCAAGAGATTTCATTACTACTTTCTTTATTGCTCTATGTGGGTCAGTGTTATTGTCAATATTTCGCATTATTGAATTAAATGCTTGTTTCAATACAGAAGATCTTGGTTCATCTTTAGCGGCATACTTGGTTAAATACTCAACACAAGCATAATGATCAATTGCAACTTGTATATCGCAATTAGCTCTCCAACCTTGCAGTTGAATTTGTTGGTGATTGTTAACTCTGGAGTCATTTCTCTTAGTAACTATTTTGGCTCGATAATGTTCACTATCACCTGAAGTATGAACATTTTCAAACTCTAGTTTTGTCTGAGGACAATGTTCGAAAGGAAAATGAAATCTACATTTCAATTCAGATTCGTTTGACTTTTTTCTAAGGCAATAACCTGTGCTACAACGAGTGTGTCGTTGTACCATGTTTAGCAGATCAACATAGTCTGACTGTTTATCATGTTCGGAAATATCCGAATGTTGTTGTTGACATGGATGAACTTCAGGTCTGATCCACATGTTGTCATCTGGTGGATTTGGATTGCCAGTTGAAAGCAACCAATCAACATATTGACATACAGTGTTGGCAGCTTGATGACCGGCTTCAATATCTTGGTCAAGTTCAACTGTGTCAGAAAGATCATTTTCATCTTTCACTTTCTGTGCTAAGAATCCTTTCAAAGCAATCTGAGTCAGCTGACACAATCCTGGGTCATTATTTAGTTTGGCAGTACCATGACAAAGAATACTACCTCTACCTTGGTATTCGTACCTAAACCAGTGCCATTTTGCACCAAGTGTATCATAAAGCCAGTGTTTCACAAAGCTTTCTAATCTTTGGGTGAAAAACCAATCAACAATATGAGGATTGTTAATAACATTTTGTCGCCTTGTCCCGCTGGTTTGGTTATCATTTTGATTTTCGTTTCCTCCTGCATTAAATAAAGCATGGAGCTCTGGCCAATGCATGTCAGCAGAGGAAAAAGTAAAAAACAATGTTGGTGCTCCAACATTGGTTATAATAGCTTTCAGCTCATCTCTTACTCTATTCCAATATGTATTAGTACCAGCAATATTGCCGACATATCTAGATATTTTGGACATAAATAAATTGGCATTGTTACTGTCAGCCATTTCCCGTAGTTCATCAATGGTAAGATGTGCTTCACCTGGATTTTGTTTGAGGAAAATTCCACTTTGCTGAAGAATACGTTTTCTTTGAATCATATTGAAAGCCCAATATGAAAATCTGGGATGGCTGGCGAACCGGTAAACCCATTTACCATCAATACATTCAGCAAATTTTAAAAGATGCTTAATCCGTTCTTGTAGAGGGACATCTCTCAGAAGACCTTGGTTAGTAGGATCCCCTTTACCATCAGGGAATAATGTTGGGAAAGCCATTGTGGCAAGATGAGAAATCTGATATTCATTCAGAGGTTCATTCTCAAGTGACGGCCAAGACATTGGTTCATTTTCTGAAAGCTGATTTCGAACAGCTTCTATTTCCTGCTGTTGTTGTTCACCAACAGGTAAAAAACTACTCATTTCAGTTGAGTCATTATAAACAATATCCTCAAAAGGATTGTCAGTGGGAGGACCTGCAGCAGCAGGAGAATCACTATCTGATACAATATCATCTTCAGTCTCAATAGACATGAGATTAGCAGGAACACCATTTTCTGGTAAAGTATTTAATGCATCTTCATTTATTGTCAAGTCAGAATAATGGGGATTATTATTAATTAACCAGAGTAAAGCACTGTTTACTTTCTGCTTTCGCACAATCACATCTCTAAATGTGTTTTCTCTACCTTTCATTTTGAGTATAATTACAGTCAGATCTTTGGGATATCTGGGCAAAGATGTTGCAAGTTCTCTGACATTTTGAGGCAGGTTAATACAATGCCCTGAAAAACCTCGTTGAACACCAGGTTTAATATATACTCTCATTATTGGTAGAGCACGAGCAATCAACATTTCCTCAATTTGAGTCAAATTTTTTAGTTGCTCTGGTACAGATGATGGTATCATCGAGTTTTCAACTGACATTTTTTTTGGATTTTTCTTATCTCTAAAACACCTTAAACAAACGTAAGGTGGGTCTGGTGTGGATTTTATCGGCCATGCTTCATGACATATATACTGTACAGTGACAGACATTGTACTGCATTGACTTGTAAAATTTATTGATATTGGTCTTAGCCCACGATTGATTTTCAATACCACCATATTGAGTATTGTAGAATTGTGTCAAATAATCTTGCTGACTCATTTCATTCTGAACAAGTGATTGTCTCAGTCTTGAACGTCTCTGAGACAGACGATTTCTCTCAAGTCTTGATTGCCTCTGGCTATCAGTTTCAACTAATTTTTTTCTCTCTCATAATTATTAGCTTTGGCAAGTCCTTTCTGCTTGTCACAGTCTTTTTCTCTGAATAACATTTTTCTTTTTGACTCATAATTTTTTAATTTTGTCAGGTCTTCTTTGTTTGTTTTGCAATCACTTTCCAATGCAAGCTTTCTTTTTCTGTTTCTTTGAGGTTTCTCATTTTCAGACTCAACATCAATTAATTGAACAGGGACAAGTTCAAATAAATTGGAATGTAGTTCTACTGACAAAGAATATAGGTGTTGTTCTAGACAAGAGATATCATCAAACTTCATAACAACTGCAGTGCCATTTTCACAAGGCATGCCCATATAGTCTCTGGCATGTGAGTCACAGAGATAGAAACAGTCATTTTGTTTAATTAAAGCCATCATATAACCTTTTAAAATAAGGATGGCATACTCAATATTGCTAGAAAAAGTAGCTAGTAGAGCCGAGTGAATATCATGGTAGTGTGAATCAATATCTTGATTCGATATAACAAGACCTTGACGTTCTTGTTCAAAATGTAAATAACAAATTTGATTTTCAATTGTTACGTCATGAAATTGGCCAACATTACCTTCATAATCATGTACTTCAATGGGTGAATCATTTCTATTACCATCCATAATAGGCTGTACCACAATAGGTACTTCGTTTGGTTCAGTTGCCTCAATAGGCTGTACCACAATAGGTACTTCATTTGGTTCAGTTGCCTCAATAGGCTGTGCCACAATGGGTACTTCGTTTGGTTCAGTTGCCTCAATAGGCTGTACCACAATGGGTACTTCATTTGGTTCGGTTGCGTGAATGGGCTGCACTTGTTTTTCATGTGTTTTTCGCGTAACACGAGGCATATGGGGTATAGTTTCTTGCCCACGTTGGGGCAAGCATATTTCACAAGCAAATGCATCGTTTGTATAGGAAATGTTGACAAACTTGGGTAACTCATCAATAGACAAAAACCTTTCTGGCAAAATAAGACCACCATTTAGACATTCCATATACATTCTATCTCCAAGAATTAAAACATTATCAAATGTTGTACTTGTCCAATTTATTAATGGCGTGTGCCGGGCTGTTAAAAGCGCCGATATACTTATAAAAGCACACTGCTTCCCTCTAGATTGTGGGCTGAAAATTTCGTTGCCCTGATTAATATTAGCTGAAATAAATAACGACATGCTTACTTACCCTTTATACAAATAAATCCAATATTGCTATTATTGTAACTGTAAATCTGCGCCGTTTCGTGAGAAATGAGAAATCAATTCGCTTCGTTCGCAGAGTATGCCTGTTCGCGGGTTATGCACTACATAACCCGCGAACAGGCAGGCTTTGGAGAAATGGAAAATTGGAGCCTCTCACTGTACTTATCCTTAGTTATATGACGACACTTATGACGACTCGATAATAATTATCACTTATTTACTGAGATCGAGGGAAACAGTATGTTTTATGGACCAGAGACCGCCCTTGTTGCCCGAGGCGAAGCCGAGGGCAACAACGGCGATCGAGGGACCACAAAACATACTGCTTTCCCAATGTCTCAGTAAATAAGTGTTTTGGTTACTGGAATGGACTTAATTTGAAACCAAAACTGGATAAATGGAACGCCGTAAATGTTTAATAGTAAAAAGTTTAAAAAATGAACTTTGGAACTTCGCGGTTGACACGCATGCGTATTGCACCCATTTTATTATTGACCGGTCAATAAATGTTTGATTGCGGACCGGTTGCCGAGCATGACGTTTTGTGGACCGGCACGTGACACGGTTTTGACCAATCGGCGAACAGAAAAATTGAACTTGACACTAACTATATAACAATAGCACATAAGACAATAGAACCGGTTATACCGGTTTTACTGCCAAGTTGCTATTTATATATTATTTCGTTCCCTAATTGTTCTTTTGTTCTATTGTCTTGATAGTTAATACAGCAAGGTAAGCAAATTGATACATATTTTGAAATTGCGGAATACTAGACTGTATAGTTGGAACTTATAATTCACAATTTTTTTTATAGTTCTCGTTCATATTACAAATTACATTAAAGGAATAAAGGAAAGAAATGGCTGAAAGAAGCGAAGGTAAAGTTCTAAAATAATTATAGGGTTTTTCGTACTTTTATAATACGAGTTTATATGCACACACGGAGAAGTTTAAAACCTAACAAATAAGTTTATTAGCAAATGCAAGCTAAAACTTATGGGACAATATTAAATTTTGCACGTTTATTCATTTGGTTATTTACTGTAACTACATAACGCCTATTACACGAGACTGCAGACTTTAGGAAAAACTAAAAAAATGTTTCTTCTTAATTATTATAAAGCGCACAACAATCACTTAAGAGTTAAGACGTAGATAATTTAGAAATATTAATTTAAACTTTTTCTAGGGCTGCCCGAGATCTCTTGTTATATACACGCGGTATCACCCGTCAAGAAATCAAATGGGTCTTCGTATATTAATTGCGATCTTCAGACTGAGACACAAGTAGTAAGAGCTGTGTGCTTTGAAGTCGACAAAAAGCAAAGCTTGGAATCTTTGGCTAATCAAAAGTCACCAGTGAAGATCAGGAATTACACTATTAGTAAAAAGTATGGCCGAGAAGATGTCGTTATCACCAGGAAAACGAATCTAATCCCAACTGTTGTTCATTACGATTATCAGGAATTGGATAAAAACATATCGATCTCCACCATATCACACGTGGCAGGTGAACAACTTGTGCGTGTGAAAGGGGAAGTGCAGCAGCTTTCAAGTACAAAAACTGTTGTGTTTGACGAAGTCCCAGTAAAAAAACAACAATGTTTCATTGTTGACCCTTCTGGGTTTATAAAGCTGGTGCTTTATGGAAAACATGCCGACACACTTGAGGAAGGGATATAGTTTTCTCATTCAACAGAGTTCGAGTAAAGATAACCAAAAATGAGAGATATGTTAATACGCCCAAAAATGAGAGCGAGTGTGTCATCTCTCCAGATGAATCTTTCACTGAAGCCTTGCCTTCTGTGGAGACGACTGTTTCTCCTGTTTTGGAAAGGACCGGCGAAATCCTTGGGGTGACAAACATATCAAAAACACAGTGTTGTTGTTCCTGTAATAAAAAGGTTGTTATCAATGGCAACTTGGCAACTTGTGAAAGCTGTAAAATGGTACAAAAATCTAGATCATGCAAAGTGCAGTGGTACCTTAGATTATATATAGAAGTAAATGGTAACAATCAACAAAGGCTGCGTTTAACAGCTTTTAATGATACTGCAAATAAATTACTTAGAATCGGTAATCTTGCTCCAACAGCAACACACGAGGAGTTCACTCAGTGCATGTTAAACTTAGATCCTCTATTTATATCGTATGATATACAAACCAACAAACTGATTAATGTGGATATTATTGATATTTAAACTAATTGGACCTTCAATTCTTAACTGTGCTTTGTTGAATTTATATATGCTGGATGTTTATATTGATTAGTTTAGATTAATATTCAAACTAACTTAACTTTTATTTTAACTATAATTGAAAGAACATGGACCTTCTTAGACTTTAAAATAGTTGAATTTATACTTACTGGGATGTTATTGCTTATTGGGATATTGAAATTATGTTTGTTTTAAATACATTTAATTGATATTCCATAAATTCATTTTGTATGATTTCATTGACCTTGACGTTGTTCAAAATCATTTTGTATTGTATTGAAACTGTATGTCTATGACCTATGTTATGTACTATATTAACCCATTGAATCGCATTGCACCCTGATGCACCCTACTTTGAACAGTATTTTACTCTGTCTAACGCCAGACGATTTTACTCATCAAGGGGAGAGTGCTGGCGCTTAATGGGTTAACTGATCTATCTGCCCATGTGTCTAGTTAACCCATTGGGTCGCATTGCACCCTACTTTGAACAGTATTTTACTCTGTCTAACGCCTAACGATTTTAATCGTCAAGGGGAGAGTGCTGGCGCTTAATGGGTTAACTGATCTATCTGCCCATGTGTCTAGTTAACCCATTGGGTCGCATTGCACCCTGATGCACCCTACTTTAGTATTTTACTCTGTCTAACGCCAGAGTATTTTACTCTGTCTAACGCCAGACGATTTTACTCGTCAAGGGGAGAGCGCTGGCGCTTAATGGGTTAACACGCCCAAAATCTGTACTAAAACTGCTAATTCTGTTTTGTGATTGGCACAGTTTAATCAAAGAATCCTCCCGTTGAACCAGAGCCTTCACAATATTTCAATTTATTATTAACTGAAGGCTCTGGAATCCAGGATAGCTTGCCATTGAATACAGTGCAATGCTTATATTTCTGAATGAATAAGATCAGACTCAGAACAGTCAGAACTGCAAAACTATATTGTTAGAAAGAAGTTGAAGTTGTGAGCATTATTGTGGAGCCATATGTTATTATATCAATGTATGTCAGTAGAATCATGTTTATAGGCTTTATATATAACTGAGGCAGTCTTATACAAGTCATATCTTATACAAAAGTCAGTTAATATGCTATATTACATGTAATTGCTGATAAGTCCATATATGCAAACAACAATCCACACTGGGTAGCTCTAGGAATCTTGTTAAGCCTGATTTAACAACATCCCGCGTTTGTTTTTAAACTATAAACATCTAGAAATAGAACGTACCGAACACTATTATATACTCACCGCCTTTGGCTTTGCACATATTAAGTGACATAACAAACAAATAAACTAAAAGTTCATTTGCTTCTTGTATCAGCATAAAGGCATTAATCATTACTGTCGATTTGGTCGGGAATAGATCAGTGATTCAGTGGGTATTATAATTGCCGATATATTCTTGAAATCATATTGTTTCAATGCCTCTATATCGAAGTTTAATACACTAAAGTGACTAAACAAGTATAAACAGCAGATTTAAATATAAACGCCTTCATGTATTATAAAATATATCACCAGACAGGGCACACGGCACGACTACATCACTATACCAGAACGAAATAAAGCCATCCTTACCTGAATTATTCAAAATATTGTCGATCATTCTTGCGCCAGAGACACAAAATAACACCGTGCTTTATTTACCCATTCATCTTCACAAATATTACTCGGAATTTTTATGGAAATTCGCATTATTTTATGATTTTTATATTTCTGTCCGTTTATAACAGTCGCCATGTTGTGAGCAAACCACCCCCGGGGAACAAAAAAAAATATCAAAACAGCTAGTTTTGGCCCGTCCGTGGATGACAAAATGACATAAATCGAGATTGTAGCGGCTATAAACTCGGCGATCACGTGGTAAGCACACCACGTGTAGAGATTAGTGTGCTGCCTCGCTACGCTCGGCAGCAATTACTTTTGTGCAAATATCGTCATGTCTTTTCTGGTTCAGGGGCCCGTTTACACGGGCGATTTTTGATGCAATTTTAGGGCGATATTCTTTTTTCTGATGGATGTGAAGGGGCGATGAGTTATAAATGTTCCAGGTTATGAAATTTCATAACACCGTCATTAAGTAATCTACTCCTTCATATCCGCTGACAGTCTGTAGGTTCGTCGCAGGAAAGTTTAAGACAAAATCGTGTTTCCATGTGTATCGTTCTAGATATGATTGACAACCTGCTACAACATGTAAAAGGGTTTCAGGGGCTAGCGGCTAGGCAATAAGTGCAGTCTGAATCGAAGTTGTCGATATAGCCTATCTTGCAAGATTTTGTCGCGTTGGGAGAGAATTGTTAATATATCGTACAGTAAAGTTGAATATATTTTTCGGCAGGTTTGATTGAATTGTAGACCAAAGTTTCGTCAGTTGGGAAAGAGAGAACTTTGTAATATTGGTGAAGAGGATCCTTGACATGGTTACGCAGTCTATGCTCTTGTCCAGAGCGAAAATCCTTAAGAACTCGCTTAGTCGAGTGATAGATGTCGTACTGGATATTTTTGCTGTTACTTGTTGACTTCCAAAGTTCGTTAATAGCTACGTTTGGAGACATTTTTAGAGCTTTACGAAGAACAGTTTGGCATTGGATGAATTTTATAGATGGAGGGCAAATATTGAGACCAAATTTGTTTCGGGTTAGGAAAACAGTTCTCAGCGTTCCGGATATAGGTATATCAAGCCATTTACGAATATGACTGTTCACGTTGGAATCAATAATTTCAATTACCCAGGTTTTCGATAGACCAGTAACGGTGAAATGCCATGATAGTTTCGACAAAACTTACAAACTGTAGAGGATTTTATGTTTTGGGTGTTGTGGTTTAGAATCAATATTAGCCATTAGTTCTTCAACAAGTGAGGTTAGTTCAGATTTGTGTTTTTCATCGGACATGTTAAAGTTCAAGTATCTTCCTAAGTTTTGAAAATTTTCTCCGAGACAGGTTGTTGGAATTAGTTGGTTATTAATAAGTAGTTTCGGCAGATACTGGATTGATTTTGTCAAGGCTTTTTTGATGCCAAAGGTACAACATTTATCCACCCGAATAATCATATTGGACCATTGGCACCAAATAGAGAACCGGTTTAAGAGATGTTGATTTTCCGATTCTTGACTACTTATGACCGCAGCATCATTAGCGAACTGGAACCAGTGGATGGGATTGAAAAACTGGAAGGAGAAACCAAATTGGCGATATTTTTCAGCTTTTATATAGTAATAATAATAATAATAATAATAATAATGGAAACTTTATTGAAATTATATACGTATATCTACAATTATAAATCTCACTAAGTTAGGTAATTTATAATTGACTACTTGAACCTACTTAATATTTATATATTAATAATGAGTATCCTTAAATGTTCAGTAATTCCGGATTTAACCAGTCCTTATCTCTGCAGCAAAATATATAATATGTTGTCCTAATCGCGATAATAATAATAATAATGGAAACTTTATTGAAATTATATACGTATATATACAATTATAAATCTCACTAATTTAGGTAATTTATAATTGACTACTTGAACCTACTTAATATTTATATATTAATAATGAGTATCCTTAAATGTTCAGTAATTCCGGATTTAACCAGTCCTTACCTCTGCAGCAAAATATATAATATGTTGTCCTAATCGCGATAGACATAATTTTCCTGATAGCGAAATGTTGGTGTCTTTTATCAAGACCTAAATCATTTAATATATCTAAAAAGGAATGACATTCTTTTGAGTAAACGCCTAAAGAACTAATTGACAAATTTACAAATTTTACGGACTTAAATTGTTTCTTTTGCTGTGTAATGAGATCTTCGTATCTTCTTCTTTTCCGATCAACATTTGTTTGTAGATTCGACTCATAACCAACAGAAAGTTCAAGGATATAGGGACAATCCGAGTTGATAGATAGAAGTAGGTCTGGGGGAATGTGTCACCAGTTACAATTGATGGGCTTTTATAACCAGGAAGATCGACGAAAAGATTGGAGTTGTTTACAGGTTGTAGCGTTTGTGCTATGAAGTTCAGAACAGAATCATGTCTCCATGTAAATTGTGGGAGGTACGTTTGACATCCAGCAACTACGTGTAAAAGGGTTTCAGGGTTTAAGCAGAACGAGCAATCAGAGTTGGACAATATTCCCCATTTAGTAAGGTTTTTTACGAGTTGGAAGTGAGTTATTAATGTAACGAATGGTGAAGTTATAGATGTTCTTTGGGAGGTTTGATTGGGATTTAGACCATATACCGTTTAATTTCGACAGTGAAAACTTAATGACATTTGAGAAGAAGGAGCCTTGCAAAATCAGATGATTCTGCAGTTTGTCTTCTTGTCCGGAGGTAAAAGTTTTAAGGACTTCCTTTGTCGAGGTGTGGACGTAATAATAATAATAATAATAATAATAATAATAATAATGATAATAATAATAATAATAATAATAATAATAATAATAATTAATTAATTAATTAATTAATTAATTTATTTATTTATTTATTTATATATTTATTTATTTATTTATTTATTTAGTGAAGGTTCATGCACACAACATAGTATATTCATTTCTTTGCATCTGATGGGCGGAGGAGGCATTTTTATAGTCTTTCAAGAAAACTTAAACCGCATGTTTGTTAACTACCTTGAGTCCAGCATGTGGGACAGTAGCAATCTTATCTTAATGTAAAAAAAAAACTATGAGGCTATGCCCTGCCCCTCTCCGCACAGCTCCGCGGTATGCGGCCTATTTTACAACATTTTAAACAAACTATATTTAGCTAGCTGGCCAACTTTATCAGTCCTGTAAAATGTGATGTCCCGGCTTTATGGCATGGAACACAGACAAAAATCATGCGATGTTTAATATTATTCAGTCGAATCGAACTCACACTTTTCACACGCGGTTGAAATGAATGTAAGTGCGTCTCTGATATTTTCTTCAAATTTTCTTCAGGTTACCGTCTAAGGGACCATGTAATCAGTGAACACAACACACTGAATGTCGTGGAATGTTCTCTATACTGTCTCAGAAAACCTTCTGCCTGTAAATCAATTAATTACAAAGCGAGAAAACATCAACATCCTTCTAACAACTGTCAACTGAACAATGCCACGAAAACAGCACATCCTCAGAAGTTACTGCCTGATAAAAACTATGATTATTATGAACCGCTGGAAAAGGTATTTTTTATAAAGATTCTCCTTAGTATTAGGCAAGTTCTAAATTTTTGTAGCAAATTTATATATAACAATATATAAATTCAAGTTAATGAGACAACACGTTTGTCACCTTCAAACCTGGTTATAATCTCATAGTAACAGGATAAGCTTGTCAACAGCCACAAAAAGGCGATATCCAATAGTCCAAAGTTCAAATGTTTCTCTGGGCATGTGTAAAACCGAATGAAAGATCAACTGACCAATCATATGTCAACAACGAACACGCAGAACAAAGGTCAATGTGATAAGGGAGTTCACTTTGACAAATATCCCAACAAAGAGCAATGTCTTGTTACCGAGAAGAAAATTTGAAAATTTGACTTGGTGCGGAGCTGTAAAGAATTACGGACATCGAATGAACTGAGACAATGTGACAGAAAAGAGTTTATGAACGCTGGAATTGACATATCATGGTTATATCAAAGAAAATTTGGTCAGTAACTCAGTATGATAATTCAGTGAGACGCAGTTTATTCAAATAGAACTCTACCGGACAAGCGCTTACTCTTCTGGTGGACAAAGGAATACGTTGGCCCAAGTCCCGACGAAGTTATTACCATTAAATGAAACCGCCGCTGGGGGAATAACAACAAGATCGATAGGCTAAAGCCGCTAAACACGAAATCAACAAGCGTTCAATTGATATCATTCCATGTCTCAATGCACATGCTTCCTAAAGTGAAGCGGTATTCGGCGCGTAAGTATGCGGTGCATTGACACGTTTGTTTCGTATTCCGCATCTCAAACCAACCAAAATGTATTAAAATTCGTCTATTTTATAACAACATTCCGTGATTCTGGTGTATTTATATTTGTCGATCAAAAATTCCAATGACAATTTTATTACTACCTTGAGGTTAGCCGCAGATTAAAGGCTTCAGATTACGCCTCAGATTTGGCGTTGGATTGGGTTTCAATCAGGCCTTACATTAAACTGTATTCAATCGCTCAAAAGTAGAATTATAAAACTTCTTTTTCAGCTATTTCACAAAATTAATTTGACCTGCATACATTTTCAATACTTTACTGTTCAAAACTTAAGAAAGCAAGCTCATTTGTGAACGAAATTTGAGACTTAAAACTCTGCACATGATACATGTTTATGCACATTTGCGATAAATCGGCAAGATGGATATCAGGAAAGATTGGTACGATACCATGTATGCCTACGCTTTTGAAAATTGAAAATCCTTTGATGTACCATTATTTACTGCATATAATCTATTTTGACTACCACATACATATTCTTACAATTTCTTTCTGCTAATATCATGCATGCATGATCGGATGTTCGATCGCAAAATTTTGGTCTTGCTATTTTGAATTAAAGTAATGAATAAGCTATTTTTCTGAGAGTAATGTCACATAATTCGAGAAAGTTCCACTGATCATAATTGAAATAAAATAAGTGTGGTTAACAAATAAATGTCGTGCAAAACGTATTTTGAACACATTAACTTTATAAAAAAAATAAATAAATAAATAAAAATAAATAAAATGTGCCTCGATAGTGAGCTTTGTTTGTCGTGTTACCAACCCTCCAATTAAAAAATTGTAAGATAGAAGCTTTGTGGGGAAGCTGCTGGTTGTCTTGGCCCCATCCAGGTTTCCTGTATATTCCAGGTTTTTTCTGGCCTCCCTGACTATCCAGCTATAGTATGAGTGATGGTAACGCCCAAATATATGTCTAACTATCATCTGGCAGCAGCTGTCTTGTATACAAATACAGCTGTGGTGGGAGTTCGTCTATGGGGAATACACATGCTGTGTATTTGTGGGGTTGAAGTGTTCCCAATGGTCAACTTCAGGCCCATAGACTCAGGTTATTTATGTAAATATAATCAGTCGAATCGTAGGTACTGTCCAAGGGGATTATCACCCCTTGGTTCAGGTCTATGTCAGAGGGGGTCGCTACCCTTCGGGCAGAGCTCCTATGGAGCATTCAGTCTCTCCTAGCAGGTCTTATATATACGCCTGCGGGATGAAAACATAAGGCTTAATGAGTCTTTGGGTTGACCAGAGTTTGAGAGTATAATGTATATAATTGGTTCACTTCACCCTGAACCCATTCTCCCACAATGATTTGGTGTGTGTTTTACTTATTTTCGGGCTGTTCTTTCACCTAACGTGCTTGAATTATTAAAGCAAATTTATATATAACAATATATAAATTCAAGTTAATGAGACAACACGTTTGTCACCTTCAAACCTAGTTATAATCTCATAGTAACAGGATAAGCTTGTCAACAGCCACAAAAAGGCGATATCCAATAGTCCAAAGTTCAAATGTTTCTCTGGGCATGTGTAAAACCGAATGAAAGATCAACTGACCAATCATATGTCAACAACGAACACTCAGAACAAAGGTCAATGTGATAAGGGAGTTCACTTTGACAAATATCCCAACAAAGAGCAATGTCTTGTTACCGAGAAAGAAAATTTCCACCCACCCACCCGTTCATGTTCCTGGTATCTGGTGCATTGTATGGGTACTAACTAATGTTATGCAAGGACTGTTCAAGAACAATTTGTCAAGAAAGACTATCGAACAATTTTCTCATGGAAAATTATCGCTATGTAAATACTTAAATGTTCAAACAAATAAATTTTGGTTCGGGGTTGAAGTGTTCCCAATGGTCAACTTCAGGCCCATAGACTCAGGTTTTTTATGTAAATATAATCAGTCGAATCGTAGGTACTGTCCAAGGGGATTATCACCCCTTGGTTCAGGTCTATGTCAGAGGGGGTCGCTACCCTTCGGGCAGAGCTCCTATGGAGCATTCAGTCTCTCCTAGCAGGTCTTATATATACGCCTGCGGGATGAAAACATAAGGCTTAATGAGTCTTTGGGTTGACCAGAGTTTGAGAGTATAATGTATATAATTGGTTCACTTCACCCTGAACCCATTCTCCCACAATGATTTGGCGTGTGTTTTACTTATTTTCGGGCTGTTCTTTCACCTAACGTGCTTGAATTATTAATTGCATTATCAAAATCAATTCACACAAGTGCAATTTTCAAATCACCATACCATTAATTTGTCAAACATTTTCCAGTCATTATACCCCCTGTTCTCCGTCCCAGTACTTCTCCGGTGTCATTCCCTCAATATAGAACATATTCATCATTAAATATCTAAATTTCCTGCCAATATTCGCCAAGGCAGTCATATCTTCTTGCTCCAATTTCACGTTGTATGTTTCTAGGTTTTGTTTAATACGCCCTTCGTTGACCGACTTGGGTAGAACAGGACAACCATAGTTCACTCCCCACGCTAGTAACACCTAAACAATTGATAAAGAATACTACCATTGAAGAATACTACCTACACTGGACCACCACGTTTTAGATATCTTTTTCAGGTAGTTCAGACACAAACCACGACAGCTTATTGTAGAATACTACCTACACTGGACCACCACGTTTACACTGGACCACCACGTTTGAGA